TGCTTCAAACTCACCAGCTGCTCCTTGGAAACCCTACAGAGGGTCGCTATGGGTCGGAATTGACTTGACGGCACTCAACAACAACAACTAGGGCTGGGAGGTGGGGGAAGAGGAAGAATCATTCTTTGTGATGTATTGAATTTTTGTCTATGGTGATGGGGAAATTGATATCGGCTAAGGAATCCTGGTGTGGAGCTATGGGTTAATGTGCCTGACTGCAAAGCCGTTTGAACTGCAAGGTTGGTGGTTCAAGTTCACCAGCTGCTCCTCAGAAACCCTATACAGGGTAGCTATGGATCAGAACCAACTCAATGGTACTTCACAACAACAACAAAAGGGTAATGAAGATGCCTTGTATGGAGCTGTGGGTTAGTGCACTGGACTGCAAAGTCAACTTGAACTGCAAGGTCCACAGTTCAAGCTCACCAGCTACTCCTCAGAAATTCTATACAGGTCACTATGGGTCAGAACTGACTCAACAGCACTGAACAACAACAACAAGGGTAATAGAGTCCTAGTGCGGCACTGTAGGATAAACACTTGATCACAAGGTCAGTTTGAATCACAAGGCCAGAGCAAACTCACCAGCCATTCCTCGGAAACAATACAGGATCGCTATGAGTCGGAACCAACTCAATGGCACTTAACAACAAGGACAACAGCTATACAACTTGATTATTGCAACTGATATCACCAAGTTTATTTGTACACATAGGGGTAGGGCAAAACTGCCAAGAGACTGTAATATAAAATTGTACAACAAAAACAGCAGCCCCGTCCCCCCACAAAAAAAGGCTGCATCTCGCATGGGATTACTTTTCTTGTTTCAAAGGCTCAGGGTCACTGGTTCATGGACTGGAACAGTCAATGATCTTACTACTAACATTGTTTTCAAAGTGTCTGGAATCAACTTAATGGCAGTGGGTTTGGTGGTTAGTGTTTCTCTGATTACTGAGTAGTGCCTGGGACCTCTTAAAAGCTTGCTATCAGTCACTTAAGATACACCTGACCTCTATTCGTCTGGAGGATGCAGCAGACCCAGGAATCAAAGAAGGAAATACACTTTTCTATAAACTACGATCTCCGTTACCATGAAACCAGATAAAAAGGATAGTGCCTGGCTTCTATTACTCAATGTTTTGATCCAGTGACAAATCTGGATCAAAATTTGGAAAAATGGGGAAGAGAACTTCAAATTCTTATTGAAAATCAGACTTAGTAGGTATCTTGAGACTGGAGGAATCCCTGAAATCTATTGCCTATCTATTGCCTGGAAACATATTCTAAGCCTTGAACTGAAACAATCCCATGAAGTACTTAACTTAATGTTCCCCTTAAGCACTGAGCTAGCTCTTTTAAAGAACTATGCAGAGTTCTACTGAAAACTTGAGAAGATAAAGTCAGGTATACTAATGAAATGTGCAAAGACTCAGAGTCACAAAACCAAAAAGAACACACTCAGTATTTCCCAAGCTGAAAGAACCGAACAAAATATCCAAGCCTCGACTTGCATTACTGAAAGATTCTATGGGCAAAGTATTGAATGATGCAGAAAATCTCAAAAGAATGGAAAGAATATACAGAGTAACACTATCAAAAAGAAATGGTCAATGTTCAACCATTTCAAGAGGTAGCATATGATCAAGAACAAATTGTACTGAAGGAAGAAATCCAAGGTGTACTGAAGGCGTTGGCAAAGAACAAGGCTCTGGGAACTGATGGAATATAAATTGGAACCTTGCAACAAACTGATGCAGCACTGGAGGCATTCATTCATTTGCCACGAAATATGAAAGACTACCTGACCAAACAATTGGAAGAGGTCCATATATGTACTCATTCCAAAGAGAGGTGACCCCAAGGAACATGGAAATAATTGAACAATATCATTAAACTTTGCTGAAGATAATTCAAAAACAGCTGCAATACTATACTGACAGGGAACTGCCAGAAGTTCAAGTCGGATTTAGAGAGGACATGAAACAAGGAATATCATTGCTGATGTCTTGGTTGATGGCAGAGAAAACCAGGAAGATATTTACCTGTGCTTTACTGACTATGCAAAGGCTTTGGCTGTGTGGATCATGACAAGCTATGAATAACATTGCGAAGAATGAGTATTCCAAAACACTTAATTGTGCTCATGAGGAACCTGTACATAGACCAAGAAGCAGCTGTTGGCACAGAAAAAGGGAATACGGAATGCTTTAAGATCAGAAAAGGTGTGTGCCAGCATTGTATTCTTTCACCATACTTATTCAATCTCTAAGGAGCTCTGGTAGCTTAGTGGTTACGAATTGGGCTGCGAACCACAGGTCAGCAGTTCGAAACTACCAGCTGTTCCGTGGGAGAAAGATGAGGCTTTCTGCTCCTGTAAAGATTTACAGCTTCGGAAACCCTGTACAGGGTCACTATGAGTTGGAACCGATTCCAAGGCACATAACAATAACATTCAATCTCTATGCTGAACAAATAATTCGTAAAGCTGGATTATATAAAGAATATGAGACCAGAATTGGAAATTCATTAACAATGAATATTGTTTTATATATATATAAACACATATATAAAATAACCTGCAATATGCAGATGATAATACAACCTTGTTGCTGAAAGCGAAGGACTAAAAAAACTTACTGATGAAGACCAAAATCACAGTCTTAAGTATGGGTTACATTTGAATGTAAAGAAAACAAAATTTCTCACCACTGGACTTATAAATAACATCCACATAAATGGAGAAAAGATTGAAGTTGTCAAAGATGGAGCTGTGGGTTAATGTGCCGGACTGCAAAGTCGTTTGAACAGCAAGGTCAGCAGTTCAAGCTCACCAGCTGCTCCTTGGAAACCCTATACAGGGTCACTATAGGTCGGAACCAACTCGATGGCACTTAACAACAACAACACTATCAACACTCATAGAAGCAGCCAGCAGTCAAGAAATCAAATGACTTACTACATTAGGCAGATGGGCTGCACAAGACCTCTAAAGTATTCAAGAGCAAAGTTGTCAGTTTGAAGACTAATAAGGAGCACCTGACCCAAGCCATAGTATTTTCAATAGCCTCATATGCATGTGAATGTTGGACAGTGAATAAGGAAGATTGTGGGAGAATTGATGCATTTGAGTTATGGTGTTAGAGGAGAATATTAAAAGTACCATGGATGCCAGAAGAACTGGTGAGAGAAGTATGGCCAGAATGCCCCTTGGAAGCCAGGACGGCCAGACTTCAGCTCTCATACTTTGGACATATTATTAGTTGAGATCAGTCCCTGGAGAAGAACATCATGCTTGGTAAAGTGGAGGGTCAGTGAAAAAGAGGAAACCCCAACGCGATGGATTGGCACAGTGGCAGCAGCAATTGTGAGGATGGTGCAGGTTCAAGCTGTGTTTCCTTCTGTTGTGTATAGGGTTGCTATGAACTGGAACCGACTCGAAGCCACCTAACAACAACAATATAAGATCAAGTGGACAAGAGTAACTCTAAAACAAGATGAGAAGTTTAAGAGGCAGAGAGTTTAGAGATAGGGAGGATGGTAACACAACGTAAAGTGTGTAACCCCAGTGTCAATGAATTGTACAGGTAATAATTGCTGAGTGGGATGTATGTTGTGTTTTCTATATTTTCATCAAAAAAATAGTTTAAAACTGTAGGACACAACCTACTTGCCACTTTCTAAATGGCTTACAAATTTATTTATTATTAAAAAAAAAAATTTTTTGCTTCTTTTAAGTTTCCTTACTGGTAAGTGGCATTTACTGCATATAAACAGTAACAAGTCTGGAAACAAAGCACTAGAATCTGTAAAATATTACATTCTGAGTTTGAAGTTAGAACAAAGATTCTAGAAGCACTTATTCCAGGAATATTAATCAAACGTTTCATTACTAGACACAGAATAGTACTAGTATTGAAACGAAACTGTGATCTAATTAATCATTGCCTCTCTGATCCTAAACCCTCTTTGGATCAAGCCCACTTGAATGTACAATAAGAGTTTAAAAAATATAATCTTTTGGGGCCCTTCCATTGCTGACATTCTTTTATTTGAGAATGTAGAGAATTGTGTTCAATTAGGGTTGAGGGTAATGTTATTTAAAGCACTTAGAAATTATATAACTGAGTTCAAACTGCTTCAAACTTCACATTGGAGCTTCACTGGAGCTTCACAAGAATGAATCAGAAAACCAAGACGCTTGCTAAAAGTCTGCCAAAAGCTAAATGGATATAACGAAAGAGTAGTCTTCCCTGGGTTCAGAGAATATGAGAAAAAGTGGATCCTACTTCGATCCACAAAGTTCGTCGTTCAAGTCTGCCAGCCGCTCCGCGAAGAAAGAGGCTTTATGCTCCCGTAAACATTTAAAAGCCTCGGAAACCCTATATAGGGTCGCTATGAGTCGGAACAATACCTTTTCCAAACCCTACCTTTCCCTCGGAGGCTGATCTCCACTGTTGGGAGCTCGACTCCTCACAGTCCGTCCCCTCAAGAACTCGGGAGTTTCAAAGCTCCGATCTTATCTTCACTGTCCGTTTCTGATTCCTCCCAAACCCAAGTCTTCGTTGCCTGCTTCAGCTCCTCAGGAACCTACGTCTTTGTTGCCCTGTTTCTGAGTCCTCATGAGCCTAGGTCTCCACTGTCTCACTTCTGCTCCTTAAGAGTCCAAGTCCTCAATACCCTGTTTTTACCCCTTCGAGAGCCAGTATCCTCACGCCCCGTTCTGTTCAGACCTTCTCCGCTTAGGAGCACGGGTTTTGACATCGTATGCCTTTCTGATCACTTCCCTCAGGTGCCAGGGACCTCACATCATCCCCGTTCCCCAAGTCCTGTCCAGGTTCCCACAGCCGCGTCTTCTCCGAGCCCCTCAGCCCCATCCCAAGAGCCGAACAACCCCGTCTCCTCCACTTGTTTTAACGCTGACTAATGCTGACCCACGGTGACCCCGGTCTTGACTCCCTCCTCCCACTCTTCTTCCTTAACTGCCAGGGCCCAAGACTCACAGGCAGCAGCGTCTATCTCCCCATGATATGCGGAGACCGCCCCAATAAAGCGTTCGTCTCAGCAGCCGGTCCGACTGCGCGGCCCTCCCCGAGTACTTCCGGCACCGCTCCCCCGCCTCCAACCCGGAAACGCGCTGCTCTTCCGGCCAGCGGGCAAACCCCTGATTTGCGCAGGCGCAAATTTCCTTACGACACGTGCTAGCGTCCCAGGTCTTACTCACTGCTCTGGCTGTACCTGTCCTTTTCTTGCATTTATTGTTGTCTGCGAGTATTCACCGACTCCACTCTGCACCTACTGAGCTTACTTACCTTCAGTTTCTTCCTGACTCCACTGACTTATATATCTCCAGCATAACCGACATGGGCGTCCTCGGATGGCTTACACCAAAACTCAGAATCATACTGTCGTTTCCGACTCGAGACCCTGTATAGGGTTTTCGAGGCTGTAACTCTTCACTGGAGTTGTTCTTGTTGTTAGGTGCCGTCGGGTCGATTCCGACCCATAGCGACCCTGTATAGGGTTTCCAGGAACAGCTGGTGCGTTTGAACTGCCGACGACGTTGCAGTTCAAAAGGCTTTGCAGTCTGGCACATTCACCCACAGAGCCACACGGGGAGTAGGAAACCTTTTTTTTTTTTTTCTTCCGCATGCATCCCTCTCACCACAGCAACAGCTGTTAAGTTTGCACTGCTGACCTTGCCTTAGCAGTCAAGTGCTTGCCCTACAATACCACCAGGGTTCCTCAGTGAGGTGCCTCAATGGGAGTCATTTTTGTTTGGTGTCTGTTGTGATACCACAACTGACTTAACCTGGGACAGCAACAGCCCAGGAACAGGAACTTGGGGTTAGGGGACACCTGTTATGCCTTTGAATTGACAATATGTAATACAAGACCTGGTGTGGTGCTGCTGTAAGGTCAGCACTGGACTGCTAACCACAAGGTCAGCTGTTCAAACCCACCAGCTGCTCCTGGAAAACCTTATATAGGGTCGCTATGAGTTGGAACCGACTCAAAGGCGCTTTACAACAATAGGAGCCCTAGTGTGGTACTGTAAGATGTTGTGAAGTGCCGTCGAGTCGGTTCCGACCCATAGCGACCCTGTATAGGGTTTCCGAGGAGCAGCTGGTGAGCTTGAACTGTCGACCTTGCAGTTCAAACGGCTTTGCAGTCTGACGCATTAACCCACAGCGCCACCAGTAGGCTAAGCATCTACAAAACCACCAGCCGCTAGGGAAACCTTATACAGAATGGCTATGAAGGTAACTGACTTGGAAGCACGCAACAGCAATAATAATAATGGAGCACTTAAAATACACAGGAACTGTGCCAAACCTTTTGAAATATTTAAACATTAAAAGGAAACAAGGTTCCAACTAATCAAAACAGAGTTTCTACTTAAGTAAACTCAGAATTTTTTTCTCCATTCTTCAGTTATTTCAATTTTCAAATATTTAATGAGACCATGGGTTATTCATGACCCCATGCTGACTCTTAGACATTTAAGCAAAACCCAGTTCCAGCCTCCGAGGGCTCACAGTAAAATATAGAAGAACCCATAAAATATAAGGGAATATACAAAGGGCTGTAACAGAGCAGAGGGGGCAACAGCGGCTGCCAGCAGGAATCTGGAAGAACTACCTCCACCTTTGTATTTTACAGCCATGTCCCCAATCCACTCTACACTGCCATGGAATCCAAACTCTTAGATTGAAAGGCTCTTCACATTTGGCTCCAAGCTATTTTTCTAGTCCTATAGTGTGACCCTGGAGTCCTGGTGTGGCGCTATGGGTTAATGTACCAGACAGCAAAGCCATTTGAACTGCAAGATCTAAAGTTCAAGCTCACCAGCTGCTCCTTGGACACCCTATACAGGGTCGCTATGGGTCGGAATCAACTCGATGGCACTTAACAACAACAACATAGTGTGACGCTGCAGGTTAATGGACTGGAAATGTCAGTTTGAACCACAAGGTCAGCTGTTCAAACTCACCAGCCTCTCCCTTGGAAATCCTATACAGGGTTTCCATGAGTTAGAAGGGACTAGAGGGTGCTTAACAACATCTCTCTGCTGGAGTCCAGGTATGGCGTTGTAGGATAAGCCCTGGGTTGCTGACCCACTTCAAGGTGCATTGATTGAATGTACTGTCAAAGAATAAGGCTCCAGAATTTGATGAAATACTGAAATCTTTCAACAAACTGATGCAGCCAGCCCTGGAGACACTTACTCACCTCCGCCAAGAAATCTGGGTTACAAACAACTACCTGACCAACTGACTGGAAGAGATCCCTATTTGTGCCCATTCTAAAGAGTGACCCAACAGAATGCGGAAGTTGTGGTACAATATCATTACTGTCTCATACAAGTAGAATTTTGCTAAAGAAAATCCAAAAATACCTACAAACATACCTTGACAAAAAACTGCCAGAGGTTCAAGCCAGATTCAGATGAGGACATTGAACGAGGGATATCATTGTTGATGTCAAATGGATGTTGGTTGAAAGCAAAGAATACTAGAAAGATGTTTACCTGTTCTTTACTGACTATGCAAAGGTTTCGATTGTGTGGATCATGACAAGCTAGGACAACATTGGGAAGAATAAGTATTCTGGAACGCTTTAATTATGCTCGTGAGGAACTTGTAAATAGACCAAGAGGCAGTTATTCGAACAGAACAAAGGAACAACGAATGGTTTAAAATCAGGAAAGGTGTGAGCCAGGATTGCATTCTTTCACCATACTTATTCAATCTTTGTGCTGAGCAAATAATTCAAGAAGCAGGATTAAATGAAGAAAAATGTGGCATCAGGAAAACTCATTAACAACCTTCAATATGCAGATGATACAACCTTGCTTGCTGAAAGTGAAGATAACTTAAAATACTTACTGATGAAGATCAAAGACTACAGCCTTCGGTATGTGTTGGATCTCAATGTAAAGAATAAAAATTTCCACCACTGGACCAATAAATAACATCCATATATATAGAAAAAATATTGAAGTTTTCAAGGACTTCATATTGCTTGGATTAACCATCAACACTCATGGAAGCTGCAGCCAAGAAATTAAACTACATATTGCATTAGGCAAATCTGCTGTACAAGACATTCTTTAACATTCTTTAATGGGCAAAGATGTCAGTTTGAGGACATCTGACCCAAGCCATGGTATTTTCATTATCATGTTAAAGTTGGACAGTGACTAAGGAAGACCATAGAAGAATTGAAGATATATTTGAGTTATGGTGTTGGAGGAGAATATTGAAAGTACCATGGACTGTCAAAAGAAGTACAGCCAGAATGCTCCTTGGAAACCAGGATGGCCAGACTTTGTCTCTCATACTTTGGACATATTGTCAGGAGGGACCAGTCTCTGGAAAAGGATATCATGGTAAAGTGGAGGGTCTGAGAAAAAGAAGACTCCCAACTAGATAGATTGGCACAGTGGTAGCAGTCATGTGCTCAAATGTAGCAATGATTGTGAGATTGGCGTAGTACAGGGCAGTGTTTCCTTCTGGTGTGCATAGGGTCACTATGAGTTGGTGCCAACTTCATGGCACCTAACAACAAGCTAGCCTTAAAGTCAGCAGTTCAAACCCACCAACACTCCTTAGAAACCCTATACAAGGTCGCTATGAGTCAGAATGAATCATGGGCACTTAACAAAAACATTTCCCTGGGAGTGTTCTACTCATTTTCTTTGGAGTCTGTGTACTACTTGTATTCTTGACCATCTTTTTAAGACGTATTTTAAATGTTCATTCACTTATTCAGCCAATGTTTGAGTGCTCCTTGTGCACCAAGCCCTGCCCTAGATGCTAGATTGGTCACAGCACAATCCATGCTTCCTATCATGCTTCAGTGAACCAACCAAATAAAATATTAGATCTTTTCCTAACCTCTCTAGCTGAAACATTGAATGAAGAATCTTGAGCTATAGCAATAAATTCACATGAATTCAACTTTATGTTTCTTGCACCATTATCCCACACACTTAACGTGGATTGTTGTTAAATTCTGTCAAATGCATCCTCACTCATAGTGACTCTATATAGGGTTTCCGAGGAGCAGATGGTGAGTTTGAGCCTCTGACATTTTGGTTAGCATTTCAGTGCCTATCCTACACCAGGACCATGACATACTAATAGCCCCAGACATATACTCCAAGTTTCTGTTTGTACACATTAGAAAAATGAAGTTGTTTCGGAGCTCTCTGGAACATAAGTTTAGTTTTAAGTCCAGAAGCAATAAAGGGTGGAGTTGGGGGGTTTCTCCTGGGATCATTAAGCAATGGCTTGTAAGACATCTGCCCCAGGCAAGCTCTCAGCAGGCACGGTTGAGTTAATCTTACCAAAATTGGGTAGAAGGAATAATGGTTTAACTAAGAGTGGATTAACAGACAAAGATGGAATAATCTCTTCAGATGGGAATGGTCGTGGTGTTGGTAAGAGTGGTTCAACAGAATTTAGGGGCCTAATGTCCCCAGCTCCCTAGTTATCTGTCCATGTGTCCCCACCCCAAGTTCCAGAATCCCATTTTTTCCTAATCAATGCCCTCACTTTAACATCAGACACTAAACTGGAAATTCATTGGAGGTGTAATTCAGCCACTCTTATGATAAGACTCAGGGTTTGTTTTTTGGCAATATCAGCTCTGTTATTACAAGAAATAAAGGCTTTCTTTCAGGGTGCAAGTGAAAACTTTAAGGTGTTTTATACAGTGCTTGGGTTACGACTCCAAAGCCCTGAGCTTGTCTCTTTCCTTTACCACCTTTTATTTTTAAACCACCTGGTCTATTGTAAGACCAACCAACCAGCTTCCCTATACTTCTCATCCTGACAAAATTGCAGAAAAGTATCAAACACACAATTACCCAGAGCCTTGCTTCTCACTAAGACTTGATTTATTAGTAGTGATATTTTGCATATTAATTTTGCCACCTCATGCCATGGATTGTTGCTGTTAAGTGCTATAGAGTTGTTTCTGATTCATAGCCATCCCATATAGGGTTTCCGAGGAGCAGCTGGTGGGATTGAATTGCCAACCTGTGGTTTGCAGTCCAGTGTTGATCCATAGCGCCACACCAGGAGTCCATGCCATGGA